AAAAAAAAAAAAAAAAAAAAAAAAAAGAAAGAAGCAGCTTAGGTTCTTCTTGTTCCTACAGTAAAACAAACCAAAAATGGTGATTTTAAAAGGGTCAACCTGCTGCAAACAGAACTCAGGAGTTGTTTTATGCAAAACTTGCTGTAAATGAATAACTCCTGGTAAAGAGCTTACAGTAAGAGCAGGGGACATTTCAACAAGCATTTAAAAAACACTAAATGATCGAATGAAAAGAGTTTCATCTTTGCAGCTTTTTGTCAGTTAAGCTGTTTGAGACTGAAGTATGTGAGGGGTCGTTCTTGTTTCTGAGTGACGCCAAATAAGGTGCTGCATCCGACGCCTCGTGTAGCCGAGAAGTGGAGAAAACAGGCAAGAGATGAGACTTTTTTTTTCTTTTAAAAGGACGAGCTTCAGCTTGTTTACACAAGCCAACACACATTCCCACAGCTGTGGAAACGCCACTTTCATCGGCCTAAAGAAACAATGCAAAAAAACCACAAAACAAAACAAGTATTCACCAAAAACCAAGTTTTTCTTTAGGAGCAACCTGTTGGCTGTTTAAACTGGATGTTTCTACAGCAAGACCACAGATAATCAAAGTGTTTGGAAAAAGCTTTCCTGAAAATTAGACAATTTTCCCCCCTGAGTCACATCCCAACAGCTTCCTCATCCATCACAAGCTCCCACAAAGCATCAATCAATTAGCAAAACGCTGTCAGCTGAACAAATACTGGAGAAACAGCAGCGTACCACTCGCTTATTAAAGCTTAATCCACATTTAGCTTAATAAGGAGCGCTGTGGAGTGTGTGGAGTAATTATGTTCAGTGATGAAGTCAGGTGCAAAAAGGTTTTCCATTTAATCAGCTGACAGACATTAAGTTCTATTTGTGAAACACATTGCTGAGAGTTAACAAGAGGTCAACAGGAGGAACTGCTTTCAAACATTTCAAGCTGCAGAAAAGCTACCGGCTAGCACTGAACCTCCTCCTCGCTCTGAGGAGTCACATGGTCTGACATAACTCCTAATTTAAGGTGTATTCACACCTCACACATTTGGTCTGATTTAAACAAGACCAGATCATTTCCCCTGTTGGTTCAGACCTTTTATGTTGGTGTGAAAACACTCATGTGAACCCTGGTGTGGCTCAAACAACCAGACCGAGACCCATTTTTGAGGTGGTCTCTGTCCGCTTCCAAATGAACTCTGGTGCAGTTCGCTTCTGGCGTGAAAACGGACCAGCCTCGAACCGAACCAACTACAGGAAACATACGCCTTTTTGGAGTTCACGGGCTACCATAGCTAAGCAACATTAGCCCTTCAGCGTTGCTAACGCTAACGCTACACTACAAACAAGGAGCCGCTGTGGGTTACAGAACGCGGAACATCTCGTCGCCTTTAGGTTGCGGCATGCATTTGACAATGCTGTCCCAAAATTATAAATATGTTATCGTGAAACTGCCACTGAATGAGCTGCTCTTGATATTCAGTTGTGTTAACAGCACCATCTTTATTTCAGCGCCTGTGCTCGGTCCTGCCCCATTATTTCTGTCCAGTGGGAGCAATGACCATCACCTGCAGTGTTTTGTTGATAAATTATAGTCCACTTGCAAAAAGCACAAAGTGAATGCAAACCACACCAAAGTAAAAAAAAAGTAAAGTCCACTATTTGGTCCGGACCAAACAAGTGGACCAAATGTTTATTTACATATTAAAAATGAAAAGAGATCATATTTTGAAGTAGAGTTCTGTACCCACGGTGCATAGCTCTTTGGTTATATTCACACTGCAGGGCCTAAATGTCAACTCCTTTGGACGTTTACCTGTGTAATGTATAATCTGACCTGATTCAAACTGGTTCTCCAAACTGAGGTAATTTTAAAAAAGGCCATCTACAACAGGTAAGATTCTATCTTGTGACTATTTCTCCACAAAACTAATTTTCAAAAGATTTGAGCTGTTTTTAATAAATAACTTAATAAGATTTATCCCCCCCCTTTTTTTTCTTTTGAACTTTTAATATTCCCAGAATCATCTAAAAATTAAATTTAAAGATTTGTTGTTGTTTTTTTTTAGAAATTCTGTGTCCTGTTTTTAAACTAATGGCTTCTGCTGACCATTAGCTTCTCATGCGATAAGGTATATTATACATTAAATTCTATAATATTTCATTTTTCTATGTTTCTTTATCTTTAAATTTAAGAAAGGCAGACCTTGAAACCTCACCCACACTTGAGTCAGGAGAAATCACGAACCCAACAACCTTTCACAGCAGTCAGCTGTGATTGGCCACCTCAGATTGTGGGAGGGGCTTAGTGGCTAATTACATTTGAAGAAGGCTAAAGTTACCACAAGTCTGAGAAACAGGTGATTATATTTACTCACTGTGGGGGAAACTGATGCGTGGTGTGACATCATCCTCAGCGTCACTCACTGATTGGACGGCTCCAGCCAATAGCAGCGCAGCGGCCACGAGACGCTGGACGGTTGCAGCTAACGCGCACATGGCCGGCTGATTCCTACAGAGTTTGTTTTAAGGTTTATTTGGATTCATGAAGCTCTTCTGGACTGCACCGAGCTTTATTTTTCTACTCTCATCTTCTCGAAGGCTGGGGGGTGGGGGNGCGGTGGGGTGGATGAACGTGTCCTTGACTGGATTCTTGTACTCCCAAAGGTCTTTACACACAGTTAGCAAACTCACAGAAGAAGAAGAAGAAGATTCCTTTCCGGCTTAAAGTCTGCTTGTTTTTCTGTACTTCCAGCACTCCTCCATTGGTCGACGTTAAGCTCCGACATGCAGCCGTCTTCTTAGATCTGTGGAGAGAGGAGAGAAGAGATGTTTTATGTCTAATCCAACGAGAGAACTTGGAGCAACAGATCCATATCCAAGCTCCTAACGTGGAACAAAGACTATAAGTACAAAAGCAAAAGAAAAACTTGAGCTTTGGCGCAATCTGTTACACTCTTGTTACACTCTTGTTCCAAATAACAGTGGAATAAATTGAGACAGATCTCTCAAAAAACTTTATTTCTTTTCTGTGAATTTTTAATAATCAACCATGAACACACGGCAGAGCATTTATTGTTTTGGCATGTACTTCCAAAGAAAACTTCAACAGAGACAAGTTGACACCAACAGTTTCAGTGAGAGTCTAATTATCGGTTTAATTAAGCTGTAATCAGTAAAGTGATGAGAGATTCCTGAGAAAACAACTTGGATGTTTAGCTCTAATTTTGTTTCTAATTAAGGGAAATAAACAAAAGCAGTGGCTCTGTAATACGTCATATAAACAGGCAAAAAACATCAGGTTGATTGGAATTGTGCTGAAAATACATACTTTTGGACACAGAACAGCATGGACCTTCTGGAACTATGTAATGATGAACAACTACTTAGTGAGATTTTAAAGAATGTTACACAAAGTTAGGAGTTAATCTCCATTTAACCTTTTAAAGTTCAACAGAAAATGTCCTTCGGCTTTCCTTTATAATGAAAGAGAGCCGAGACTTCTGGGATTTTATCAGTGTTGGACTTTGGAGATAATGCATCTTGCAGCTGGTTGTGTGTCAGAACTCGTTTTATTCCTCAAATGAAGAAAACATAAAAGCAGTCTGAGCGCAGGAAATCGTTTTATATATGCACTGATTTGATGAGCAGAGCATCTGATAAACTTTGATTAACGGGTGAATCGGAGGATGTGCTTCGATCTACGACCCGTTTGATACTCTTTAAAGACCGACTCGTCGGTGCACGGCTATCAAAGACATTAATAGAAATATATTCTAGTAACAGATGTCAGAACTGCCAGAAACCTTCTGCACCACACACTTTAAAGTGCCTGTGACGTCAAATTTTTGTAATACATATGAATGCATTTTTAGAAAGAGGACACTGATAAAATACTGCAAAATAAATGTCATGTTGCTGAGATGAACAGTTGTTGAGATATTTGCCTGTGAAGTAACAGGAAGTGATGTCAAAGGGGAATGTCTGCATGTGAACAGAGCGTTGCTTCAACAGCCAACAACCCAGACTGTAGAGAAGAATCTGATGTTTCACAAGATTATTTTGAGTCACTATCAGAGAGATGAAGAGTCAGAGTTCAAATAATATTGTTTCAATAAACAAAGACCAGAGAGTTGTCTTTGTTAAAGAGTTCCCCTTTGATGTCACTTCCTGTTTCACTTTGGCTGAGCCAAGTTCAGAAGAAAATATGCCAGTTATGTGACAAAATGGGTTAAATCGTGTGTATTCTTCCAGCTTTCTTAAATACAAACATGTTTTCTATGCATGTCTCAGGCACTTTAAGATGTTCTCTGAAAGTAACCAGAAGGCTACAAACTGCCAGGATGTATATCATGTTTTTTTTTCATTCAGGTTCAAAATATGCTTTGCAAAGTTAATTTATTCTTTTTAGGTTAGCCCTGTGATGTACTTGCGACCTGTCCAGGGTGTACCCCGCCCCTCACACAGTGACTGCTGGATATGGGCACCAGTGACCCCCGTGACCCTAGAAAAGGAATAAACGGTTATAGATAATGGATGGATGGATATTTATTCTTTTTAGATAGGCTGCTTTAGAGTAGCCTTATATTTTATTTCAAGCTACGGTCCAACTTTCCTTTCCTTTCCTTTATTCTGTCAGTGCAACGTACAGTTTTATGTTTTCATCATGTAAATGAATATGTTTGAGCTAAGATGTTTTTTAAATAATGTTTAGCAACGTGCTTCTTTCTGGACTGACATTTCTGACTGTGATAAAACCATTTTTCTTGCAAAATTTATATAAAAATAAATAAATTCAACTAAAGCCCCATCAGCTGAGATATTTGACCAAGAAGCCTGCCTCTCATGAACTCTCTACCATATATAATACAGCATGACAAGTTGATCTTAGCTGAGCCAACACTACTTGTTTCTGTGAAAACAAAACGGCTCAGCAACGCCCGACACTGAACATCTCTGCGCGGCTACAGGCTATAGGTGATAAAATGTGGAACGTAAACACTGAAAAAGGACGAGCCGCCTCTGGCATTGCTGCGACGACTCCCACGTGACCTCATTCAAATATTTACTGGAGCTAATAAATCCGGCTGCGGGGTAAGACGAGTGTGAGGCAACGAGACAACCCCCTGAATGTCCGATGAAAAACATACGACCAGCCTGAGTGTCTGTTAACACAACAAAGCATAAACACAGATTTACAGTCTGAAGGCGGAGAGGCCGACTCAGATGCTGTATCGGTCCCTGAATGTCTCAACGTGACCCCCGTTCATCGTCCTGGCCCTCACACACTGAACCCCCGTGTTATTATTCACTGTTTACTGAAGCCAGCCGAGTCTCTGCAGGATGAAACATCCACCCATGATCCTCTGACATCCCCCCCCTTCTCTGGTGGTCTCAACTCATGCCTGCTGAGACAACAAGCACGGTGGTTCGATGTGCAGCAGGCAACCGTAGGTCTCAGAGTTCCAAGGGCACATCCTCATGCAACTCCTGAGCTCTTTTAAATTTTAATGACAAGAGTAGGAAACTGTTGCGAGGGTTTTCCCCAACAGTCGAATAAACGCAGGAGCTTTCCTGCTGCTTCCGACCACATAATAAATAAACATTTATTCATCGACCTTCGATTGATCAAGCAGATGGCGTTCACAAGGATTTCTTGTAAAATTACAACAAAAATTATAAAACGTTTTCCAACAGTGGCCTGCATGAAACCAGGACTGAATGTAAACCTGAGGTGATCTACTCAACTCAAAACTAAAAGACGCAGATAGTTTCAGGTTTGAATTGAGAGAAAGAAGCAAAACACCAAATTAAATTCAAAATAAAGCAGATTTCTTCCATTTCAGGTACATAAAATGATCCATTCTGATTGAGTTAACAGTGATTCTGTTAAATAATTAATCACAATTCAGTCAGATTAATGTTCTCATGTTTAAACCACTCTTGGTGCATAACCTTGAAAAGAACAAAGGTATTAAATATTAACAGGCACAAGATCTTATCTTACAACTGACAGAAGTAGGTAGCTTTATCAACAGCAACAGTCGTAGCTGCGTTTTATTCAACCTGACTTCTTACAGTACAGGCAACCAACTGTGCTCCGGACCCATCTGTTGTTTTAGGTGCGGGTCTGCAGCCCCTTGTTTTTTGTGAAGGGGGAATCTGGTGCCATATTGCTTAAAGCTACAGATTCATTAACCTTCCGAGCCTCCCTCGAAGCTGCTTTTAATACCTGCATCTGTTCAGAGGGAGGCGGGATGTGACAGACACGCTGGACGGTGCACTCAGCTGGGTCACGGTGAGTTCACTGGACGGGGAACGGCATAAATGATCGCCGTTTGGCCCACCGCACATTAAAGAGGCCAGGGTTTTGTGCTCGACACGCCCCCCAACCACCCTTCCTCGCAATAGCTCATGCTTACTAAGTGGCTCGTCTCATCTAGCTTTTGGCACAGATCGTGGCACTTATGGAGATAATCAGCGGCCGGGCAGGTCCCTGTGGTTCCTGTACCATCACAGAGTTACACATGAGGCTAGATTAGATGGCCACCCCATCCCTTTAATCATATCTTGATTACATCTAAGTGAAGGGAGAATTACAAAAGCAAATCAGCTGCGCAATCAAATCAGTTTTACAGACTTTTAAAAAATGACTTTGGGGAGGTTGGATCAAAAACATATCAGTGATCCTCTACACAGAAAGAAGCCTCAATTTGTTCCATTGAGCCCAATAAATGTTCCTGCCTGCAGGACTGTGAAATTTTGCATTCTCTCGTGTCTAACTCTTAAAGCAACGTGGCTTCTTGGGTTCAGATGGCTATTCAGTAAGATTTATGGAGCTATTATGTTGGGTAGAAAAGAGCTCAGTGTGTGACTGACAGGCAGAGACTCCTCGCTGTGTCTGTCATTATAACTCGCACTTAAAGCAGCGTGCTTAGCCGAGTGGGCTGTGCATGATTGGTTCAGAAATCAGGCGAGAAAAGGTGGAGGAAGGTATAATGCCTCTCCGAACCCGTAAATGGCCGTTCAGTTGACCGTTACACTGGTTTCTTATTGGAAAAACATTACATTAAAACAAAATAATAATAAAAAAAAGACCCCAAAACACGACACTTTCTGCAAATTAAAATTCAAGGACTTTAATTTGATCTGAAACCAAGTCGACTCCCGGGTCATGTGGTGGTGGGGATTCGGTTTCCACACCTTTTATAGCTCATGAGACACACGGCGCAGAGCTCCTGCTCACTCTGTGAGTTTTTGACCATTTGACAATGGGTGCCTGGAAGAGTCATATGGTTGGATGTACTTTCTGACTGCCTCAAACAACTGCTACACAAAACTATCCATGTCGTTTGGACGTACAAGAGTCGACTTATAGAAGCAGAGCAGTTGAAGCAAAATGTTGCCATTGTTGTCCAATAAACACGCCCACAAACTGACCAATCACACAATAATCAGTACAATCGACCGTGAGATAAAAGCCGTGTGTCGAGAAGGGGTAGGCTCTGCAAACTACATCTATAGCCATGTTTCCATCAAAGTTTAATTCAAATGTTGAGCGAATTTTTAACATTTCACAAAAATGAAAAAAAAAAAAAAGAAAAGAAATGCAAGCGTTTAGCTAGAGGGGTGTCTTTTCGACACCCTGGACTGATTTACGGCACCCTGTGGCTGCGTGACGACGCCCTGGTACACTTTATGGCACCTCGTGGATGCGCCTATATAAAGACGCGAGGCTACGAAACTCCGTCTTTTTTTTTCCAACATACGACGATGCAGCGCGAGAACAAAGCAGGAGGATAAGTGA